CTCACGTATCTCTTTTTTTTTTTTTATAATTACGATTTACTATAACGCCAATTACTCTTTTTTTTTTTTTTTTTTTTTACAATTTACTATGACGCCAGTTACTCACATATCTCTTTTTTTTTTTTACTATAACGCAAGTTACTCACATAACTCTATTTTTTTTACTATAACGCCAGTTACAGTCAGACTCCCTAAATACACTCCCTAAATGCAGTACCCCTCTAAATGCTTGATATAAGCCCGGACCTACGGTGGGACTTATAGATAAATGCACGTTCTTTATTCTGTAAGTGCATGCTAATTGTCTGACCCGATTATAAAAACTCCTTCCATAAGTGCATTCACGTGATTATCAGCCAATCTAATCCATTGTTTCTAGGCTACTAAAGCCATATTCTCACATGATAATAGTCGCATTGTGATTTTATTAGTGTTCTTTAATTGTAACCCTCCCTAAATGCACACTCTAAAGCAGGTCAGTACGGCGTGCTTTTAGGGAGAACTGACTGTATATTATTATCCATGATCATTGTTATTCGATAAATGAACTTAGTTGTGTGTGAAAAAATCATAAAATACATAGTATAGACTAGCATGTGCGAAAAACATTGTGGCACCGGAAAAAATTTCAAGGCACAATAATAAATAGTTATCAGGCAGGCACTACCTGATAACTGGTTTATTTGGTCGAGGATTTAAGATCAGACTAAGAAATTGAATTCCGAAGGAATTCAATTTTTTAGGCTGACCTTAAATCCTTGACCAAATAATTAAGTTATAAGGCAGTATCAGCATGCCTGATAACGGATTTATCGGGTAGCTTACTATAATTTTCTGCTCAATGATTTATTATTGGGCAGAAACGATAGTTTAAACTATTTTAAACTATTTTAAACTTTTTTTTCTGCCCAATAATAAAATTATTGGGCAGATAAATCATAGTAAGCTGCCCGATAAAAATAATTACAGGCACTTGGATACTAGTATTTTCGCCCGAAGCAGTGCCAACAGTGCTCTGCATGTTTACTTGCAGAACCCTGATACGTATGTATTGTACATACGTAGAATTCATCAGCAATTACATCACAGTAATATAATGGCATAGTTATGTAATCTGTAAAAGTATTAACACTTTCTAAATAAATGAAAATCATTATTTCTACCAAAAAAAGGAATTTTCAAAATCAGTATAGGCCATGACCAAAATGTTGAACGGAACCCTCTCACATTTCATTGATCGTACTGGTATTATAAATATTTAAAATAGACAAATAACATAATATATTCATTATTTCTAATTTTTCTGTGTAATTAATAATTTTTTTTTTTTTTATTGTATAAGTTTATTATCTGACAAAATTCTAACAAAAACTAATCAATAATAATACATTAAAAAAAAAAAAAAAAAGCACTTTAAATTAATAATAATATTGATTGTTTAATTTTTCTTGTCAAGGTTTTGAAAAAAACTGAAGCTATTCAAGTCTTAATACGTATCTTTTTTTTTTATTACTAAGCATACTTCACTACTAAACAATCACATAATTTATTTTATTAAATTATTTTATTTTACTTTCTGATTTGAAACACAATAAGTTTGACGAACCTCATCCTATTTTACTAATTATTAAGAATAGGAAAAGATAGTCTATCAAAAGGATATTGATGCATTACATATTCTTAATCTGCTACCTTTATTCCTGTATTCTGAGTTGGGATAGGTATATTCCAAATCTAGATATAACCCAGATAGAAAGTTCTGACTTGTTTCGATGCCCAAGAAAAAATATATCTACTACATAATACAATAATCAGATAACTGCGTGATATTGTCCTACTAACCAGGAACAGAAGCATAATACCAGATTTAGTGTTACAGTACGTATGAACGTACATAATTCCAGATTATTAACTGTTAATGTAATTAAAACAATACGTATCAATATGCATATATTTTGTGGCACAGTTTTGGGTTAGTATACATAGTTGACCTAATTTGGGATGATTTTCGATTTTTGTCTATTGTTGTAACCATCGGAGACTTGGCTAACATGAGGTAATATTAGCTCGGGGTTAAAAGCATAGGTTATGCGAGATGAAGTTTAAAGTAACGTTTTTAGTTAATAGATAAAGTTTAAAGGAATGTTTTTAGCTAGTAGATAAAGTCAAAATACGTTATTTATTATGCATCGAACAAAACTCTTTTCTCTTTAACAGTTACAGTTTAGGCGTCATATTTATACATTTTAAATGATCGTGGTCTGTGATCTCGAATTAAGGTCCATGGTCCTGAACCAATATATATGGTCTCGAGCCAAAATATATGGTCTCGAACCAATATCTGCGTTGCACAGCTATTACATAATAATAGTGTAGTGTTAACAAATATAGTAAGAAATACTAATACATAGAAAATGTAACGAAGAAATTTAAACAAAACTTTTGTAACACTATTCAAAATTTAGTACGTATGTGCGTACGTATACGTTACGCAAGAATACAGTAAACTGTTTTGTATAACACATAATTGTCCTCTCAAACAAACAATCAATCAAAAGATTGTCTCCAGAACAAGAAACGGAGAAGGAGCATAGTGTAAAAATTTTTTAAAGGCCGAAAGACTAATCATTTTATACGCTATTTTGTTCTTCAGATATTAAAGAATTTTCATCTCTAGGTTTATTAGCCTGTTTTCTTGATCTCCAATAATTTTCTTTTTTCGTCGAATGTTTTACTGGGCTGATGAAATGACAGTCAAAAATGAAGCGAAAAACAAAGATTTTAGCAAAGATAATTTGATAATTACATCTAAATCCACCTTTAATCACCAACTATGATGTAATTTAAATATCATTAATTATCATAAAAAATTGCCAGATTACACATTCAGAAATTATGTACGCCGGAAAACTTATACCGACTCCACATACATACGTACGTACGTACGTATGTACATGTTAAAATGACACACAACATATACACATATATATAGTATATACCCGGATTATTGGGGTTTCAGAATTAATGATTTGACGTCCGATTTCAGATAAATTATGATGGTTTTTTTCAAAATGAATTAAGGTTTCAGAGTTAACGTATTTTGAAAATAAGTGGGAGTTTGAAAAGCCCTATTTTTAGTTTGAAATTTCGAAATCAGAAAATGAAAAAGGAGATATTCGGAGATAAAACAAACAAATGGGAGTATACGTATCGCTGATTACAAAATTTATACGTCACTAATTTAATTCGAAATCAGAAACCTGAACCTTAGGTCTGAAACTCCTAATGGTTTATAATTCATATTTTTTCAAAAGTATACACCTATATTTGTATAATTGCTTTTTACCGGTAGACATTTATCAAAAGAAGCTAATTTTTACCACCGGATTCGTAATTTTAAAACAGAAAATATGATTTTTTTTAAAATTGCGTACTATATTTTCGAAATAACCATTTATTTTTTTGGACATATTTGAAAAAACGTACTTTACTATAAATGATTGACTTTCACTTAATTTTCTGCGTCTTTTATAGTTTACCAACGCCAGTTATACCACTTTTACTGTTTTATTTTTATTAGTTTCACAGCCTTTTTTGAAGCTTCACGTTTTTACTTTTAAAGTTTTTTTTTTTTTTAAGAACGTCTAAATTCTATATATAGTTCAGGTGAACCTAATTTGGGTTCAATTTAACTCACTTTAGATTTATTTTAAGCCATAAATAGTAAATACTACATTACTATACGGATTTTGATGTATGTACTGTACTGTACATCCTTTTCAAAATCAATAAGGTTCGTATGCACGTAAATTCTTGATAGAATTTCATTGTAAGCAATATTGTGTATTCGGAGGCTAACTCCAGAACTCCGGTAAGAAAAATGAAAAACAGATTCTAAGAATACGTGGTGGTTGTTTTAAGAATTTTTAGGCCGAGTTTTGTACAGCCTCAAACTTCTTCTCATCAAGTTTCAAAGCCTCATTGTTTCCTAGACAACTTAGACGCAGAAGCCCAGAAGCTTTTTTTGCAATAAATCCATAATATATAATGAAATAATTTTATTCTAATAAATTGCATAAAGATAATACTATAAAGAGTTGATACAGGATATTATACTTAGGCTAAGATTATTAATAATTTTGTAATCTCTACGCAATTATAACGATATGTTTTCAGACGATAATATATACATTACAATAGTTGTAAGCAAGTATTATGACTGGTTGAAAAAGTAATGCAGTGATACGCGCAGACACGAATCGTACTTGAAATTCCTATTTATTAATCAATCCAAGATTTCTTTTCTTTTGTATTATTTCAATTTTAGAACCTGTTACACGTTTTTGTACAATCATATAAAAAAAATAACTTTGTTAATAGATGAACATCATATTTCTAAATATATTCATGAAAATAGCTATAGATTTTTTTTAACAAATCATGATTTGGTCTTTGTTGTTATTGAGGTGGATTATTTTGGTAAGTACGTTGACTGATAATTCCGGTTCACTGTTTCATACACGCGTACACACGTGTATGGATCAGGTATACAGTATATGTTAGTGTAAAAAATAATAATAATAAATATAGAAATAAAATAAAAAGAAAAAATATTGTACGTGGTGGTGTATTCGCAGTACATCAAATAAAAGATATAAATACTTGGAGGATTCACTATATTACATATATAATTTTCATTTTTTTTTTTTTTTTTGGATTGAATACGTATTTGATTTCATCTTTCATTTTTCTGCTTTACACGCAGTAAATAAATCAGAAAATTTCCATCTTTCATTTTTCTGTTTTATACGCAGTAAATAAATCAGAAAATTTCATATCTAATAAATCACCATTATAAGTAAATGAATATAAAATATAATTTTATAAACCTAATCAAACCTCGCTATTATACGCATAATTTTATAAACTTTAACAAACCTCGCTATTATACGCATAGTTTTTACAATAGCAATTTAATATTCGACAAAAAAAAAAGAATTATGGAAAACGGTGATGACTTTAAGTTTATTCTTTCAATTGATGGAGGTGGTTTTCGAGGTATAATACCTGCGGCTATTCTTACAGAAATTGAAAGACGAGTAACTGAAGAAATAAGCAAAGAACATAAAGATGTAGATATAAGATGTGCAGATTTATTTGATATCATATCTGGAACATCAACAGGCTCTATTCTTGCATTGGGACTATCAACTCCTGATAAAAATAAACGTCCTAAATTTGATGCTAAATATATTTTGGACTTTTATAAGAATAATGGCCATAACGTCTTTTCAAATTATCCTGCTTTAAAGTTAAAGAATCACATTGAACAAGAATCAGAAGAGATTAAGGCTGAAATTCGTGAAAAAGGCGAAGAAGTTAGCTTGCTTTCAAGAGCTTTTAGCTTTAGAAGTTATACTTTTAAAAGCTTTGGTTTTGGGAGCTTTAGAAATAAGACTCAAAGCAATGGAGTCGATGTTCAAGTTAATAAATCTGGATTTGTAACTATGACTGAAACTGGAACTGTAACAACGAGTGAAACTGGAACTGTAACTAGCAAAACTGGAACTGTAACAGCGAGCAAGACTGGTTCTGTAACAACGAGCAAAACTGAAATAACAAAAGAAGACCATCTTGATAAAGTGCTTACGACTATTATGGGATATGCAGCAGATATTAATCTCATTAAACCCAGATATGATGGAATAATGTTTGACAATTTGTTACAACAGGAGTTTGAAAGTGCTCAACTCAAAGATACCGTAAATAATGTACGTGTAATTGTTCCATCCTACGAAATTACCAACAATGCAGGCATTATATTTACAAATTTTGAGAACACATATGATGATTATCTCATGAGAGATGTTTGTCGAGCAAGTGCAGCTGCACCCGCATTTTTTCCTGCGAAACAAATGGGTGAACAATATTTCATAGATGGGGGAGTTTTTCTAAATAATCCAACGGCCGTAGCTTATCTAAAAGCAAAAAAACTGTATCCAAATTCGAAATTTGTAGTAATTTCTATTGGTACAGGATATTATAAAAACTCTCTACAAAAATATTCTGATGCCGGTGCTCTTCAATGGGGAATACCTTTACTTAATCTCTTATTTAATGCGGAACTCAACAGTAATGATGCTAATATGAAAATGATGGCTGATCTCGATGGCTCAAAATATTTTCGGTTGCAAAAATTAATGGATGCAGATACTTCTTTTGATACTGTATCAGATAAAGAAATAGATATTTTGGATACGATGGCCAAAGACATCATTGATGATCCTAATAATCATTTTGACGAAATTATTAAATTGCTTGTTGAAAAATGTAGAAAAAATAATATTTTCCCCCGTAAAAATACGTAAAATATACATGTAACAACACCACAAAATAATAAATACTGCGGTTCTTTTATTATAACAATTGTATTATTTTAATTATAACACATTTTTTAACTTATGCATAGTTTTTAATTTATAGAATCGGGCTTCTTTTTTTTCTTCTTTTAAGATATTAGCTTTATTCTATATGTTTATAGCAACTCACTGTTCTATTTAATTTTATCGGATTACTTATCTACTTGTTTAATAATAATTCATGGCTGTATTTTCAATTTTTATTTTTATTGGCTTGTTTAAATTTTAAATTCGAATTTATTGTAATTCAATGAATAAATAAAAAATTCATTGATTCGAATTATTTTAATTCAATAATAAATTCATTGTATAATTTTTTTTTTTGGAATCACGGACAAATAAAATATATAAAAATAGAACCTTTCTTATTTTAAATAATAATAAATATATATATATAATTTTCTTATTTTAACCCTTAGCTACCTTCGTGAATTTACAGGTCACATATTTTTATCTATTTTATCTATCATTATCGTTATACTGTATGGGTTTTCCTAACTGTTTGCAACAGGAATTTTTATTTATGGCATCACATTTTTGACCGGAATTTCACTGGATGTATCCTTTTCTGGAGTAACCGGAATGTCACCGGAAGTATCCTTATCTGCCTTCAATGCGTCTAGGGTTGCTGGTGCAGGTGGCGTCGCCACTGGTGCAATGCTTTAAACTTATATGCTAACTTAATGGTGCAGCTTATATGCTAACTTAATGGTGCAGCAGTGGTGCACCACTTGCACCAGCAACCCTATTACTAGATAAATACTCAACCAAATTTTTCAATGTTTGTAAATTGTTTCACAATTGTGGAATTCTGTGAGAGTAAAATTTTAGTACAAAATTCCACGATTTCACAAGTGTTTCACACACATACGTACGTGTATGTAAATCTAGAATTGTCATTGATAATTTTAATGATTATTTTGATGATTTACTATATGTAAATAGAATTGTCATTGATGATTTTAATGATTTATCAATGATCACCAATCAAATTCAAAATTATGTACTTGTGGAATCACGTTCGTACGTACTAAAAATTGTTAATTCCACAAATTCACATGGAATTAAAAAAGGAATTATTTCCAAAATTGTTGAAATAATTTTTTCTACATAACAAAGTAACATCAGATTAACACCATGCAAAAATAATAATCAAATAAAATCAATTCTATTTGTTAAATACACTTGGAAGAATCGGAAGTTTAGGTTCGTTTTCCTTATGCTTTTGCTACCTTACATTTGCGGGCGTACAAATATCGATTTTTACTCTTGATGATCTTTTGGTTGTCTTTTTCTTTTAATAAGTTACAAAAACTAGGGAAATTTTATGATTGTAACAAAGACTAGAGGAGCAACAAAGATGCTTTTATTCTCAATTTGGAGATAAGACGATGTTAAAACATGGCCTTAATTAAATAAAAAATCCTAAACCTTAATATATACATAATATGTTTTTCTAGTTTAATAACACATAGCGTGGATGTGATTGAATGCAGTTAGATTGAGTAGAGAATAGACCTGAGTGTCGGTTCATGTTTATATGTAAATTCCTTTGTTGTCCTTAGGTGTGGGATTATTTTTGTTCCCCGTTCAAAAAAATATAATCTTTTTCTAAAAAAACGAATTTATTTATTTTTTTTTTTAGGTTTTAATATCATTTTTTAGAAAATAAATTTTTTTATGAATATGTTATAAAGAAACTTTTTTTTTTTAACAAAAAAATTTATTTTATAGATTTGTGTATTTTATTTAATGAAAAAAAATAATAAAACTAAAAATTTAATAATTTATTCAATAAACTTTTTTTTTATAACCGATTCTATACAGTATAATAGCCTCTCTATAATGAACTCGCTTTTTTCAGTACGTCAGTTCATTATAGAATGAGTTGGGTATAATTTGTTTGTGATAATAAAAGTAACATTAAAGATGATTTAAAGATCTAAGAAAATTTTTCTTACGAAAATACAAATAAGTTATTTAAAGAACTTTTAGCGGATAAATAAGTCTCCTAGAATATAGCTTGTTTTTTAACATATAAATACAGTAAAATTCTTTTCTTATAAATAATAGTAACTAAAAGTGCAGTGCAAAGGAAAGTCAAATAGATCATTGTTATCGGGACTATCACATGATCATCCAGAGCACAACATTGTACGTTGTGAGTCCCGACCCTACGAATTTTTTCTTTTATTTATTAGTCCTCATGATATTATTATAGACGGCTGTTATTCGAACCCCTGTATATTAAAATTTTTTAAACTTTGAGCGATGTTATCTTGACAACCACTAAATTAATTTTAATGAACTTTGTTTTTATTTGAATTCTACGAATCTGTAGAATTCAAATAAAAAAAAAACCCCCCATCGAATTTGGCTTGGTGGGTGTTAGCTCAAAATTTTGAAAAATTCAAAATATCTATCGAAATAAGAGTTACGCTAAACTTTTCCTAAACTATGAGCTAAGATATCTCGGCATCCACAGGCTAAATTTGATAAACATTTTTTTACTTAAATTCTACAATTCTGTAGAATTCAAATAATAAAATGTTCATCGAATTTGGTTTGGTAGGCGTCGAGATATCTTCACTCAAAGTTTTAAAAAATTTAATCCGTTGCCAGACCCAAAATCGGCGAGTCTGCAAGTATGGGTGTCGTGTAACCAAAGTTTAGGTTACGTTAGGTCGAAAAAGGCGTGTTAGATTTGAGCGAGCAGTTCTGCAGAGTTTCGGGATCGAACTTGCATTTTTATAGTTTTAGTCACGACTGTAGCGAGAGTGTTATAGGAGATATAGGGGTGTATGGTTTATTAAAATACTTGTATGATTTATTAGAAGTAATTGTAAGATTTATGAAAGATATTTATATGATTAAGTGATTTATAAAAGCAAAGGCGGGAGTTATTCTTCCCAAGGGCCAAAAGGCCTTTATTTATAACCGTTATTTCACCTATTTACATTCGCAGGATCAACTAGATCCTTACTATCATTACAATCGGCATTATAGCTAATATCATTAATATACATAATATCGTTAAGATTTTTCTGATCGCATAGATTCTTTCGATATCCCAGATCGGAGTTATAGGTAAAATCGAGCCGATCGTGGAAATCGGGAAAATCGGACCGGGAAGCCTAAATTTGGAAATACCCGGAATCACGAGGGCACGTGCAGGGACCCGTAAAATTTTAGTTTTAAAAACTCAATTTTTTCTGATAACTACCGTATAGTTCCGAAATTAAGCACCACCCCTCTACCCCAAATTTGAATCTCAGATTAGCGGAACTTGTAATAAGATCTTCGACCAAATTACTCTCACTAATCTGAGATTCAAAAAATTGGGGTAGAGGGGTGGTGCTTAATTTCGGAACTATACGGTATAAAAAATTTAGGTAAATTTTAGCTTAAATTTAGCAAATTTTAGATAAATTTTGATTTAAATTTAGTAAATTTTAGATAAATTTTGATTTA